TGGCTAGTAGACAGCTCTCACCACAGTAGAAGCTATTCAAGTGAAATGAAACCTAAACACACTGATGCATTCCTAAACCTTGTCTAACCGATGGTAGCCCGATAAATCCGGAAAGTTGGATGTTAGAAACCCAATCGAATAACACGACCGCTATGGGAACTTCAAAGCTCAAAGCTTGAAATCCTATGCTCCATGCAGAACTCAAAGAAGTGCAAAAAAACACACAAAAGTAATGGATTAAGATATACGGTGTGCCGGGATAGAAACCTTCGCATGAACTAACATTCTCGACACAAGTATGATAAGTAATTTTTGTTATATATGCTTACTGTCTTTTCTATTATTCAAGCGCCTAACAAATACACTAGTCTTTTCAGGCCTTTATTGATTCATCTACTTGGCTAGGCAGAATTATCTCACACTGAGGAACTATCGTCAAGTTGCTAAATACCTAAAGTGAGCTTTAAAAAACTCAGGTTTACTATTACTTTGACAAAAATATAAGTAGCATTGAAGAGATTCTATGTTGTTCACGAACTTGGCGCGCGTGTCGTATAGGACATTTCCAGCAATAAACTAAAGACTTTCATCAACACCTGCATCGGCTACATACTGAAGATTAAATCGGTGGCTTTGCAGGATAAACAACAACAACAACGGACTCTTTCAAACAACAAACCACACCAAGAACCGAGTACCTAACAAATATTCGAAGAAAGCGCTAGGAAGACTGTTGATTGACGTCAAGCGTCAAGCTGTCAAGTGGAAAACGGCGATTTGGGTGGGTCTTATTTTACAGCTTGAGTGCATTGAAGACTCAATGCTAGAATACCTCCCAACTATGCGAGAGTTCTGGATTATATTCCCGGTTGACACACTCCTAAACTCACGAAAAATACTCACCCAGACATGGATATAGAGGAACAAATGGTTCATTGAAGATTCCGTCTTCGGTGAATTCATTCACTTAGCTTTACAGTCGCAATTAGGTATAATTATTCTGTTTTGTATGTGTGTGTGTGTACATACGGTTTGTCAGAAAAGAATAAAAATTAGTTTGGGTTATTGTTTACGTAATCGAAGTATTTCAAAACATGTGTTGAATAATGAAAAATAATTATATATGATTGCGATTGTACAGCTGTTTGTTGAACGAATCACACAAATCAGCAGTGAAAAGATACGATATATATTCTTTAGTATCAATGCATATTGACAATTATGGACATCAGTTTGATTGGGATAATGTCGAAATCTTAGACAGAGGAAACAAGAAAAGTGCCAGGGAATTCCTAGAAGCCTGGTACTCAAACGAAAATGCAATTAACAAACACGTTAATATAGGCGAAATATACCAACTAATAAAAAGTAAATCATGTGACGAGAAAGTTTTAAATCCAAGTCAATAGAAAACGGTCAATACATATGTAAAGATGGTTACCAGGAGACGCGATTATATCACTCATGAATAAATTTAAATCATTTCACTTTATGCTAAATATTGCGCTGAAGATGTTGTCCAGAAGGAAGATGAAAGCTCCGCAACTAAATCAACCAGCTCAGAGAACACTATTAATTGCAAATCATCCACCTGAGTTACAAATCTTCTCTATTATTTTCTTGCTGAACTGTTTGCACTCTTAAACCTCTCTGAGTTTATCAGCCAATATTAAGTCAGGGAAAAAAGGAATGTTGGGCGTGAGGTAAAAAGTGACTCCAATAACAGCATGTCATTTCTGAAACTTCAAAACTTCAAGCTGATGTTTCATACATTTAGTTCCTTTGATACATCTCGACAAACAAAAGAGGGACCAAATCTGCAGTATAAAGTGATATCATTCTATACTCGGAAACGGCGATTACCAAGTCATTTCCTCGAGACTTTTAAATCCTTCAAAATACGAAGTATAAAAAGGACAGAAAATTTACCACTGTTTGCTGAAGTATTTGCAAATAAACGGTGTTTCTAACCAAAATTATGCGTACGAAAGGGGGGTGTAATCAATCCCTCACTCTCTTGGTAACTTCATTTTGATTTATTATTATATTATTATTGTTCCCTTGGGTTCCTAGTGGAACACAGGGCTTCAACTGCACGTCTCCACTTGCTTCTGTTCGCTTGCTTCTGCTATACTTTTTACTTGCATCCACGTTAGTCCATACTGTTTCAACTCTTCTTCACACGATCTCCTCCATGTCACCCTTCGACGTCCCACTCGCCGCTTCCCTTTCGGGTTCCACCCGAGCGTTGGCCTGACGCGCGATGTCACCCAGCGGCCTCCTCAGCGAGTGTCCAATCCATCTCCACTTTCTCCTGCATATTTGTTGAGCGATTGGTTCTTGTTTCGTTTGTTCACATAGCTTCTTGTTGGTGATTCTTTCCGGTGGCCATCTGATCTTGAGTATAGAGCGAAGACAGCTGTTGATAAAGGTCTGTAACTTGTTGGAAATATTCTTTGTGACCCGCCGCCAAGTTTCTGGTCCATACGTATAGAAGAACTGACTTGACGTTTGTATTGAAAATCCGAATTTTGTTGTTGATACTGAGTGATGAAGATTTCCAGATTGGTTTCAGGTTGATGAATGTGTTTCTCGCCTTCCCATTTCTCTATTTGACATCCTCGTCCGTTCCTCCTGTGGTTGAGACAATGCTCCCTAGATAAGTGAAAGAAGTAACCTCTTTCAAATCCCTCCCGTTGATGGTGATTGGCGCTGGATGTTGCTGCTGATGCTGCTGTTGTTGATGTTAGTTGGTTATTTTCATAACCTCCGTGTTGTCTATGTTCACCTGGAGTCCTGTCTTTGCTGCTTCTTCGACCAGTTTGTCGGTTTTCGCTTGTAAGTCTTCGATTTTGTGTGACATCAGACATAAATCATCCACGCGCGAAATCCAGGTCTTCTAGATTCTTCACATCGGTCCAGGATATCCCTGTCTTCTCGTTTTCAACCACTGTCTGACACATAAACCAGTCCACCACAACTAGTAATATCATTGGTGATAATAAGCACCCTTGTCTGACTCCTGTGTTTACTCCAAACGCCTCGCTGAGTTTTCCGTTGTGGATCACTTGACATGTGCCGTTGTTGTACAGCTGTTGAATAAGTTTGATGAATATTTGGGGTACGCCGTAGTTCTCGAGTAGTAGTTTCCAAATTGCTTCACGGTCAACGCTGTCGAAGGCACTTCATTTTGTTTACACTGATGAGTTATTCATATTAATGATTTTGACCAACTGAGGACGTTTTCAATCTTATGAACTAAAACCTTCTTGAATTGTTATGTGAACTTACAAACTAAAACTTTTTATTAACTGATGTCAGCTCACGATGAAATCCTTCAACCAGTCAAACTATATCCCCACAAAAACCAAATACTTGAAAATTCATCTGATGCTCACTAGCGACTAACCCTATTCAGGCAGTGACCTGGAGTTCTAATGGGAAGCCATGACCAGTAGGGTTCAGCAGGTTGAAGGTGAGGCAGTAACACATCGAAGAAGACATTGCGAAATGGTCACACTATGTCATGAATTGGCAGAAGTTAGAATTCATGGACTGGTCACTGGATTGGGTTCCAGTGGCTTAATAGTCTACGAGCTCACTAGCCTTGTAACGAGAAGGTCCTGGGTTCGAACTCTATTGGTGGGTGCGTACTGATGAAGAGTGCCAAACTAGGCTGACGAAACAGTTGTCCAGTACTCTCAGTTGGTTTTCAATGCTTTTCTAACTGATGTCAGCTTATGATGAAATCCTCCAACCAGTCAAAAAGAATCCCTACAAAAACCAATACGTTTTATAAAATTTCCTATATTTCTTGTCTTCTCCACCCCCTTCCTTCCTTCTCCATTTCTATTTCGAAAGCGTACACATTGGTGGTCACTTAAACTGAAAATTGTAATGCTTAAACTTCGGATGAGTTAATTTCATAATATTTTCTCTACAATAAAAGTGTATTAGTGTCATTATTTATAACTATTCTAATTTCAGGTAGTTTGCAGCTGATGAGAACTTATGAAACAGAATGTAATGTCATTTTATACTTCATAGCACTGGTTTTTCTTTCTTTATCGAAGCTCGTGTTTGACTGAGAAACAGAGAAAGGAAAGGAATAATTTCATTAGGGCAATCACAGTGACGTTGATATGCACTTATTGGAATAAGAGTACAGAATGAACTTTGTGGAGTCCTAACAGGAAGCCATTGACTTTAACGTCTAAGTAGTCCAATAGTGTTATGTCTGGTCAAGGCTGGTTGAATTCTGACCTGTCGACGGATTTACCTAGAAAAACTTAATTACCCTGGATTTGATCATTTATACAATGAAGATCACTTATACTGATGAAGGGTAGTTCCAAACAAGGAGGAAACAGACTATCCACTCCCCACATCAGGGTTGAATTGAAATATCCCTTGAAAATGGTCAGATTTTCACAAACTCAAGACTTAAAGAAAAGTATTTTCAATGTATTTAATTCAAATCAATAAAGCTCACATTTTCAGAAACACGAAAAGACTTATGTCATTTACAGCAATATTAGAATTTCATTAACCTGAAATAATAACATAATTGCACGAGAGAAAAAAAATAAAAACAACGACTGAATTCTTATGACATTCATAAATACCGCGGTGAATTTTCTTTAAACAATAACTTGACAAATAAACAGACAAACAAACGAACATACCGGAAAGCGTAACTAGTTTAGACTAAAGTGACAATTTCAGTCTTACTTTCAAACAATCCTGGTGATTTCTGAAGATTGTAAAGTGTCTAGATTTGAAAAATCATATACCGCGGTAAAGATTAAATACTAATCAGTAATGATAATAATAATAGTAATAATGGTGTTGTAAGTATGTCAAACATTTGAGTTGACTAAAATCACATAAAAGCAATTTCTTCTTGTTATTCTCTGTTTTTCTGTTGCATTTCGAATTAAAATAGACTAAAAAGAGAAGAAATTTAAAAATCTAAACTCTTGTCAATGTTCAATAGATTCAACGAATGATGTTTTTGTTTTTTTAAATGAAATTTTTCGCACGCGCGTAATTTGAATTTGGAATTGCTTTCAGTAGGCAATGTTACTCATTAGTTGAAAATTAAGTTTTAGTGAATGTAAATATATTTATGTCTCAATTATTTGTGATAGGAAGCGATACAGTTATGACAAAGCAAAACATTGAACAAATGATTTGTTTAAAAGATTAGTTCTATTTAACCTCAAAGTTTAAAATTTCTGATAGCTAATGTTAGGAATGAAATTGATATCAATTAACAAACAAACAAGCAAGCAAACAAGCAGACATACACATTCATACACACAGAAAAACGCGCTAAAAAGGTTTTGAGTATACATTTATCTCTGTATATATATTATGTATAGTAGGTTAGACTATATCATCTGTGGAATTACCTAACCGTCGTGAATGTGACCGATGCATATTATTTTGTTTCATTTTATTACTAGTAGATAATTGACTCCCGAAATGCGCCGAGTGACTGCCCAGTAAATTATCATCATGTTCATCTGTTGATAGCGGGAATTTTGAAAGTTTAAAATCATGTCTATGCGCTGTTTCTTGTGCTTGTTGTTGTTGTTCTAGTTGTTGTTGTTCGGCGTTTTCGTCATCATCTCCGTTAGGTTTAAGATTTTCCATCCAAAAGTAAGGGTTGACAGCTCCCGGTAATCGACTATATGTGATATACGGAGCTGGTAATCCTTTCCATTGATGTAATAGCTCATGCATAGAAGAAGGCGTCGAATCTTTTGCAGTTTGATGTTGAATATTCCCAGGTAGGCTTATATGTGGTTTATTTAAACAAATATATGTTGTACTAGGTTCAGGGATAATTTGTTCATTACACAAATACTGATAACTTTGCCATAGATCAGCAGTTAATTCACCCGCCAGTAGAATACCACAATTCGCTGTAATCAAGCGTATTACAAATAGACCATCTAAGCCTAGATAATAATTCACAAATTCTTGTATTCTAATCTCGGTTTTTAAATCTTTATTAATAGGAATTAAATTTAATACTTTTAAATGATCTGTAATAAATTTGATTCGTGCTGTTGGCCAATAGATTCGATAGAACCAAACAATAAAACTGATCAGCGTTATAAAGGCAATCAGCACGTGCCAAAACCATAAGAAGATGTAAATTTTCTCTAAGAACATATTCAGCGGTAGAACACATTGAAGAGTATAACTGAAATGTAGAATAAAACGAAGATTAGTCAGTACATTACTGAATATATATTTATACATTAATAAAATAATAAAATCATTTTGATTGGACACTAGTAACTAGTGTGATGTGTCTAGTCTATCTATCTATCTATCTACAGGAGGTCAATCGCGAGCCCGAATAGCTCACTGGTTGGCAATGTCTCTGACTGCAGGCGGCACTGGGTGACGCGGGTTCGAATGTCAGAAGGGACATGAGTGTTCCTTCGAGATTGCAGATATGCCTTGCTGAAGAGTGCCAACTAGGACGAAACCTAGGTCCTAGCAAGGCTTCCTTTGGCCGATTGCCTCCAACCATCTAATATCACAATAAAATCATATCTATTTTGAACTAGTAATTAAGGGGCTTTTAGAGGTTGAGGCTGTTGACGTTCACGGATAGTATAAAGTATACTAACGCAAGATCTAATACCCACAACTTCTATAGTATTCGTTCCGCGTAGACCAAAGGCGAGGCGAAACACCAGAATTGACCGCCCAAATTAGGAGTTATATTTCAGGACCGAATTGGAGTGCGAGATGATTGGTTAACTAGCTAGGGATCGTGAACGAACGAACGAAAGTGACACGACGGTGTACTAAATGCCGTGGATGCTTGCCTGGAAGCCTTCAGTTAAACAAGTTGACTCAAAGAGTGAGGGTCAGCATCCAATGTTCAGTGATGAATGCTGTGGTCAATAATAATTCTGGGGAATTTTATCTACCGCTACAGGCTTCTGGTTCGAATCTTACTGCACATAGTAGTTCGTACTCTCTGGGGTTCGAGGCCAGGAATTTATGGGTACAAGGTTAGCTCCTAGACCATTCAGTTACTTAAACCTTAGCAGGCGGTCAGTGAATCTCATCTTCTGCCGATTGATCTGATGCACACAAACGACTGGTTGTATACAGGAAGTTACTGGAAGTCCTAGCAAGAAGTCTTGACCAGTGGGATCCAGTAAGACAACTGGAAGAAGAGTCAATCGCCTATGAAATTGGCTCACGATTGAGACATTGCAAAAGTTAGGCCAGTGAATCAGCTCCCGGTGTCTGAATGGTCTACTAGCTCGAGTTGGCGGATAAGAGTGCTACTGGAGAGTCCTAAATAGGGAAGAAACAACTGTCCTAATTTTCCAGTGGTTCTCCAACTGATGTCAGCTTGTGATTTAACTTGCAACCAATCAAATCCCTGTAAGCCGACACTTGATAACTAGTCTAATCGACGCCCACAAGAGATTTCCACCAGTTAGTCCCTTTTACAGATTTCGACAAAACAACCTAGTTTATGCGAAACACGTGTAGAGTATTTGCGCAGCACTTTTTGGACATTCTGATCACACACGAGTACTTGTCACGTAGATTTATGCAGAAGGCAATACAGCATCAATTATTACAAAGCAGGTCAAGGTCACGAATAAGTGGTAGGGAGATGACGTAGGAATGTGGGGTAGGAAGAAAGAAGGAAGAGGGTGAGAATATTATTAAGTACATTGAACTTTGATACTAAATTGGATTACCAAGGCAGGTCCAAAGTAATGATGAATGATTTTTGATCACAAAGGGCAGGTTTAATTCTTTTTATGGCCAAGGCTTCAACGAATTTAAGTATGTGACCCAACGTTGTTTTATATATGGGTTGAAAGGTATTATGAAATCAACCGTCTATATGATATGCTTCGCCATAGATGATGTTCCACATCTATTTCTGGGATCATTTTTATTCGGTGGTTTAATGTATTGTTGCAGCCTTAACCTGCAGGGACCGATGGGTCCTCCCTATGTACCTGTGACCACGCATACATGTAAACTTGGGATGTGACATAATCGTAAGGGTTCAGAGGAATACGTAGACATCGTTTTCTCTATGGAAATAAGTTTGCCTGCATAATAAGTTCTATTAAGCCTTGGCGATAGAAAGGGCCTAAACCTGTCTTATGCCTCCAAAAATTATTTGGGATTATTTCATACAGCCTGTTCCCTTTTAGTAGTTTGAATAAAGAAAGAACGAACATATTTGCAGGATATAATATGGGCTCGTTTTGTTTCGTGAATTCTGTGTCTTCAGCTGCACACATCCTAAATAAATTAATTGTAAGTTACAAAATGGTGTTTGAGCATGCTTTTTACAATGAAGTCTAGTTATAGATGAAAGTATAGGCTACATAATTTCAAAGAGGATGTTAGCAGGCAATTATTCAGTGTTAAAAGAGTAACTATTCATTTAGTAATTAGACAAGAAGGTGGAGTTCTGTTTTCGCTTGGAAAAAAGGATGGACTAGAGACAATATACAAGATAGAACAACAGACAAAATTTCTGCATATTATGGTTGAGAGTTCAGGCGGGTAGGGGTGAATAATAGTTTAACGTTATTCTGACCTTGGACTGTTTTTGGAATTGTTTGGCATGTGATTCTTGCCGGCAGAGTTTTCGATCTCATCCTGTGAGTAATATTCTGCTTGATTCTTAGTACTTGTTTTGTATTTACAAATTAACCTTCCATATTAGTTTGTTAATTAGATGTATCACACAGTCAGTGAGACAGTATCATTTACTGGATGACAATGTTTCGAACACAATTGATTTATTCTTCATAATCATATCAGTTATAATCACATGACTTCGAAACTTCAGTTTTATAGTTTTCTTTGTTCTCTCTTATGTGTCTTAGGGGTAGTAGAATCTTCCAGATATCTCGGAAAGGTGTATAATCATTCCTTATATGCGTGTTTGCAATTGATTCGATAAACGAAGCTTCCGTTATCAATCTCTCCCTCCACCCTGCTGCTACCTTAGATTTTAAAACTGCCATCTTATCCCATCACATCCCGTTGTATCGTTGTGTGTAATTGCATGTAGTGAGTGCTATAGCTGAACTATTCTCTAGATTTCTTATCTTATTCAGGTCAACCAATCTAGATTTTGCTAGGTTTTTATGTTCGGTTAGTCTGACTGCCCCTGTTGTACTAGTTTTACCTATGTATTTGACCTAACAATCATTCCATCAGGGTATTAGATAAACTAAATTATTTTGTTTCAAAGGCTCCACAGGAGTGATCCTTTAACCGACAAAGCTTGTTTCTGATTGAGTTTGTGCTTGTTTTGAATGCCAGCGCTTTCATTCCTGCCTTGTTAAGAATTCTGCATAAGGTTTCCGAGGTTCCTTCTTTCTATGTATGGAATTACTACTGATGATTTAGATTCCTGATTATTGGTGTTGTCGTTGTCTTGCGCATGTTTGACATGCATGCCGTCATTAATATTACTATTACCATAATTATTATCATTATTACTACTATCACTAATACCATTATCATTATTTATTTTATGATAACGGAAGCTTTATTTATCGAATAAACTGCAAACACATGTAATAAGATTGATTCAACACCTGTCCAAGATATTTGGAAAATCCTACTACCCCTAAGACACGTAAGAGAGAACAAAGAAAACTATAAAACTCAAGTTTGGAAGTAGTGGGATTATAATTGATATGATTATGAAGAATAAATCAATTGTGTCCGAAACATTGTCATCCAGTAAATGATACTGTTTCACTGATTGTGTGATGCATCTAATAAACAAACTAATATGGAATTACTTACTACCACAGTGCCCAAGTTTTACACATATATTAAGAAATTTATCTTGTTTGTATAGCCGCCTGACCACACTGGCAAGCACTGTACATTTGTAGACAAATAATCTTCTTTTTGCTACTGTCTCTCGAGCATTTTGTAACTGTGCCTCTCTCAAAGAATTTTCGGACAGCTATTGTGGTGAGAGCTGTCTACTAACCAAGTGGTGGACAGTAATTGAGGTCAATGTTTATGTATCAAATATTAGTCATGTTGTGGTGAGAGATGGTTGCTGGCCAAATTGGTTGACAGTAATTGAGGTCAAAGGTCAAGGTGGACAGGCGGTTACAGTTAACATATAGACGAACTGACACAGCCACAAGAGATGCAAGGTTAACTTTGTGTGAGAAACAACCAATCAACAGACTGTATTTTCTACTAACATTGACCTACAATAATGTACATAAAATCTATAAATACGTGTTGATTTTTCGTAATAAACGATCTGTTGCCTGGCCCTTGTCTTCTGTTGTTACACTATGAGGTAGGACACGAAGATCGGTTCCCCGCTTTCAGACCATCAAGAGTCAGTTTCGGTCAGCACACAGCTCGTTATTGCCCATAGTGATTCCAGAGAAATGGTACGCCTCACAGGTCAGCTGTCAGCGCTGCGAACTCGTGACTTGAAGGCTGGTTGCTGATTCATATCCTACTGCAACCAATAATTTTCACCTCACCAACTTCAATCCTCATGTGTCACCAACCAATCACAGCAGACTTAACGCGTGCAAATACAATTCGCAGATATATGGCTTAACTTTCTGAGAAACGGTCACAAGCAGTACAAATCAATACACAATCTACCAGCCGAAAAGGTTATCTTTCAGTCAGTGTTGCCAAAAACTATCGATTTTTCAAGTGTTCACTTAAACTTTCCGGCGTCTTTGGGATTTCCTCAATCACTTACATGATATATATATATATATTGTTAGACTTGATTTGTCTATAGTGAGAACAATCTAATCATGTAATAAATATGTAAGTCTACTTAATTTTCAGCATTTCCCCCAGATTATTACAGACTAATAACTATTAAGCAGTTGTTTAGATTTTGTCTAATCCATGTTGCCTTTTTTATGCGTCTTCCCGCTGCCTAATTGCTAACAGTCTACATCTTGCCGATAGACCATTTTTCACTGATGGATTATGCTTTTTGTTCATCCTTCACTTAGGTGTATATGATTAGCGTAAGTACTATACAGACAGTTATGCTTTAATTAGCCTAATATATTTAGGTGTATATATATTCGCTTGAAAAGAATGTGATTAGATACGATGAATTATTAATATGTAATTATGTAATAAAGGCGGTCTTTTTTTCTTGCCTCTCTCTCTCCTCTGTTCAGC